GAAATCTTTCTGTAATAAATACAAAACTACAAATATTTTTCACTAAACACTGGTTGTAGGTACCACAATGAAGATGAAGAGGCTAATTTCCAGAAATTACGTTAGCTAAAAAGGAAAGTTTAAAAAAAAAAGGAAAGAAAAAAATGATAAAAAAAAATAAAAATCAAACTTCAGGTCCTGCAAGTTTCCTAAGTTAAATTCATCAAAACTGAATCATCAAATTACAGTCTTGGTCAAAGGACAGTGACTCATTTTTTTTCCCTCTGTCTTCATATGTGTCAATATCATTATATTCACTATAACGACCAATTACAGATCACATAACTATGTTGCCTCTGAGCCAAGAGGAAATCCATTCACCATTTATTTTTTGTTTTTCCCATCCTGCTACATGGAGTAAGTTGTACTTAATTAGTTGGAGTCTTAGATCGTTCTCTTGCATATATTTGTGTAAAGTAAGACTGCAGAGTGGAATAGAAAGTGTGTTTCTTCCTTTAAACTGTAACTAGCAATACAGTATTATCTATACAGAATAGTGTGACATTTTACAGCCCCTAAATATAACTTCTGGGCACTGAGTTAATTTATAGGCATTAACGTAGCTGAGAGTGGCAGCTGGGGAAAAAATTGGGAGATAAAACATTTTGAGTGACAGCAGTAATTAATTAAAAATTCAAATAGCACAAAGTCCATCTTTAAAAAGAATTCCAATAAATCAGTTAATGAAGCCATCTTCTTCCTAATTCCAAACAAACTATTATTTTAATTCTAAATTACTTTGAACAACTGCACCTTGTATGATCTTCTAATGAAAGTGAAAGCTTTGGAACATTTTTGTTGTTGTTGTTCCTATAAAATCTTAGTAGTTAATGAAGCCATCTTCTTCCTAATTCCAAACAAACTATTATTTTAATTCTAAATTACTTTGAACAACTGCACCTTGTATGATCTTCTAATGAAAGTGAAAGCTTTGGAACATTTTTGTTGTTGTTGTTCCTATAAAATCTTAGTTTCAACCTGAATTCATGATACTGAAGTGGAAACATGTTGACCTCTTTACATTTTTAACGCAGAAATGATGCTGCAGTCATCTGCTCTGACTTAACATAATACACGACAGCTTCACTGTAATTCTCACACACTGAATCCAATGACAGTGCTTCAACTCAAACATGCCTTTTACAAATTCATCCAGTTTTAATCTAAAGGCTTGAATAATGAAGAATCTTTGTTAGCTTGTGCTTTGACTCCTGGATTTTCGTGACTATTTTACAAAGGTGATTCAATTATACAGTGGCACTTCATCCCAAAGGACACTGAAGACACTTTACTAACTGAATGAAGTCAGCAGCTCTCTAGTTACCTTTTCAAGGTAAAGCTTGGTAACTGTTTAACAACTCAGTCACCAGTGGATTTAACTCTTCAGACTGCCTCAGATTTAAACAAAATACTCATTGCTATTTGCCATTCTGCTTAATAGCGTGAAGTGAAAAAAGAACCACCAAACCCTCAGCTGTGTCAGTGTAATTTATATGCTCTAGTCTTTTACACTTCTTCCACTGAGTTTAACAAAGGGTGTATTTCTTTGTCTTAAAGCAAATAAACTGTAATATTTTAAAGAACATGGTAATGGATATCTTCATCATCCTGGATGAAGCCTGGATATTTTCAGGCTACAAAGGGCACTGGAACTCAGCTGCACCAACAGCATCCCTTTCCTCCTCCCCTCATGCCACAACCAAACCAAATCACCCTGGATGAAAGAAGGCTTAAGTGCTGTGTAACGCAAGACGACTAACGGGGGGACCAAGCTTCTCTGCTGCTTTTTCCAAGAGAACGGCAACAAAGTCTATATATTGACATTGACCTATTGACCATTGACCACGTATGAAAACCTTTGGTTTCTAACTGATAAAGATACATACCCCTATAATACTCAAGCCTTTCAGGTAGTCCTGACGAGGTTGGGCTTGTGGCACACAGCCTGCTAGAACCACTTTCTTCTTCCCTTCTTGGGCTTTCCTAAAGAAGGACAGACAGTGTGTTAATATTTTCAAAATTGATTATTTTCAACTTCCAAGTAATCATGTTGTGCATGTGACACGGGGAAGCAACCACAATGAAAACATTCCCAAATGAGAAGCAATTTGTACACATTTGAACCTCAGAAACCAAACAAACCAACACACCAAAAGAATGCCATATGAAGCTATCAGGCTACAGCACACGTGGCTCTATCTACAGAGACCATTACCACTGTGTATCTTGGATAAAAGTACAACCTTGAAAGTCCTAATCAAGTTCAGTTAACCTTTATTTACCACAATGGTAGCAGAGAACCTGGTCAAGAAAGGTGGGACAGAGATATTAAGCGCAATTGAAGAAATGTTACACAGAATGCAAGGGACAGCCCATGCAGATAAGAACCGCTAGCTCAAAACATAAGCATTTATGTAGTACCAGTCAGAAATTACCAGCTACATCAGTCTTCTGATGTTTACTTAAAAATGTTTATTTACTTTTAAATGTACATTTACTTAAAAATGTTTAACGAAATGTTTACTTAAAATCATATTGAGCATTTTCAAGCTTTAACTGCTTCCCTTTGGCAGAGAAACATTTGTCTGGATATTAACTTACATAATTCCTTAGCTTTGATGCTACCTTAGCACCAAGTAAGAAACCAAAACACTAAGATTAAATGGTTAACACTGCTCATTTCATTAGTAATATTTTGACTCACTTTGAATTCAACACTGAATATCAAGCCATCACTGAATCTTGAAACTACAGGAAGCCCTGAACAAAACTATCGGCTGCATACAAAACAGTGAGATGCAAAACCTGCTTATGTTCATTAAACTTTGAAGATCATCCATTAACACATTAACCCAACACGACTACTGCATTATAATGTGCAAAACAGTAAAGAGGAGAAGCACTGAATAATTTTAGCAGATTTGCTAGGTCTGACATATTATGGGTTGCTCTAAGAACTATCTTTCACAGTTGCATGCTGTATGACAGAAGTCTGCCAGGAGGTTGTGAAACTGGAACCTTGTAAATCTGTATTTTCTCCAGCAATATACGGATTCATGAAGTGTTTACTGTTACGTTGGAACAGGCTAAGACATGTCATAACATTTTTCAGAAAAATTATCTTATCCAAAATACACAATCGCTTAAGACAATTTTATATTCTTCAGCTTGCTTGAGCCGCCTCCAAGCTGAATGCACTAGAGAAAGTGATGTTCAACAAGCACAAGGATGCTACACTGAGTATCTGGAGATCTCCAGCAAATGCAAATTTAACAAAGAAAAAAAACCAGACTGGTACCACACACAGTTCCACTACTCAGTTTTCGCTTCATACTCATAATATGGACAAATTTATTTACAAATTATAGCTCAAATGAAATCTCACAAGGACACATAAATTGTAATATTAAAGGAGATCACAGGCCATCTTGCCAAATACCTTGTGCTGGCTGCTGCACTAGAACGAGCTATTTCGAAGGAAAAAAATTAAATATCCTATACACAGACAAGTGTGAAATAACAGGAAAATGTATTACACCTATTATCTCATATCTAATATACATGCAGCAAATCTCTGTAAGATATTCAATTTTGTTTTAGTGGGACTTTCAGGAAATCTTCAGACATTCATCATACAGAGCCTCATTGGTCCTCTACTTGCATGCTAAGGTGTATAATATAAATGCAAATCCTTTCATCTCTTCCTTGATAGTATTTCTGTGGATAAAGAACTATGATGAAATGTTAATTTAGTATATTTCTTAGGCAGGGAACCTAGCAACATGTCTCCAAAACCTGCAATCCCTCTTCTCTTTCAGCAGTAAATATTTAAGGGTTTTGCAAAACTTCAATAGAGGTCACCTACTTCTACATATCCAAGTAAAAAAAAGTCCTACTTCATGCATCACCTAAAAATGTCACATAGCACCATGTGACACTCCACTAACTCAAAGGATAAAAATCACTACTTATGTAGTCTAACAGACTCAACCTAATGCCTCAAGGCAAGACAATAAGACCTGTCTCCAGCAAACAAAGCACACATCCCTAGGCAACTCCGCATCTGGTATAATCTGCTGCAAGCAACAGCCGTCTCCATCTACTTGAAAACCTGTGAGCGCTACAGAAGAAAAAGCTTTTATTCAAGTCTTTTTATCTGGGAAGAAAAAAAAAAAACAACAAAGTTTCCCTTGACACATTAAATGGCATTTTAATGTTATTTCACAGCTTTAACATTTTGCCATATCTTCTGGGACTATAACTGGAGCTAGGGGGAAAAAAGTTAAACTGAATATTCTTCATAATAAGCATTGCCTTCATTTAACTTTTTTAAAGTTGTACAGATCTCTATATAATAAAGAATTTTGTACACTGAGATTTTTTTGCTTCAAAATGCAATTAAGTGGAAATGTCAGAAGTAAATTTTCAATCATAGTCAATTTTCATTACATCCATAATACACTGTACAGTCCATGAAACCCACCATAAATGAAAAACCATTGTAAGGAAATTATGAAAATTTTTTGCCTCATTTTCAAGAAACCACTTCTCAAAATATGCATTCCAGTACTATATTGTCACTCCCTTTTAATATTGTTTAATGAGCCCTCCTCATATTAACAAAAGCCTACAAAAAATTATTCTTCAGAAATCTAGTTAGCACGGCAACTGTATTAGAAAAGCCTTTAGCCTTCAAAAACATGAATAGTAATGAGAATAATACCTCATGGAATCTAGTAGGTGGCATGAATAAATACATCTTCCCTTTTAGACACCCTTTATATTTTTCAATTACATGAACCTTACCTTGAACTTTCAGTTTAATTGATTCAGAAGACATTTTCTAGAAATACACTCTTTTCTAAAAACTACTTGCAAGATATACATCTGAATAGAAATTTAATTAGAGCAATTCTTTTTTAAAGAAAGGAATTATTCGAGCTACTTCCTAAGTAATGGGTGGGGAACAAAAAACAAGTGAGAAACAACAGGGGCATGAAAAAAAGTACTGCATGCAGTAGAGGACTCATACAAGACCTGTAGTGAGATCATAGATTATACTCCATTGCAACTCCATTGCATAGATACAGCCATTGCAACTATAATTGTACTATCAGACTTAATGAAATATATTCCATGTATTCTGCTTTTTACAAAGCAAATTTGAGAATGTGACTAGGATGGGGAGAAACTTCTGCCTTGCTTATGTGCACTTCTACTTATGCTGTTAGAAACCTGCCCAAACTGGAATATTCTGCTCACAATTTTATGTAACATGTTGTTGCATGGTTCCTCTACTTCTTTTTTTTTGAGCTCCAAGAAAAATTTGGTCAGTAACGCAACAAAGAAAGAAACGCACTCCCCAAAAAAGCCCCTTGTAAGTGTTTGCTACATCAGCACTGTGTGTATAGCAACACTGCTGGATACCGTGGCAGCCAGTGCAGGAAGCTGTACCACTTTTTCATGACTCACGCAGCTACTCAGGTGGAATCACCCCAGGAAAAAAGTTAGGGACCTTTTCCTGAGGTTCAAATCTAAGGAAAGCAATAAAAAAGAAAAGAAAGAAAAAAGTGAAAGCAGAGAAGATGGGCTAAGTTCAATGGAAGACAATCTGTGACATCGAAAGTAATTGCTAACTTGCTCTTTGCTAGAGAGAGACAAGAGAAGCCAGATCATCACTGCTCACCTGCTCCCTTCCCTTTCCATAAGCAGAGCTGCCCACTGGACCTTTATAAGCTGTGAACTCTTAAGTGAATGACTCTCAGCTTTCAAAGAGCCACCATTACTACTCACCAAGGTATCCCAGCTGCACAGGAAGGCATGGCAGGCATCTGAAATCAAAAGCAGCCTATTCTGCAGGGAGCAAAGCTGGCAAACTACAGACTGGTCAGCATGAAACATGCAATTTGTGAAGTGTTGCTCTAGTATCAGACATGTGAAACCACGTATTATAGCTACAAACCCCAAAATTTTTCCTCCAAAACCCATTGTTGGTGGAATTAAATAATGAAGAAACGTTTAAATGATGAGCAGAAGGCTGCCTGCAGCAGAAGGACTAAGTAACAGTCAAATAAAAGTAAGAGAAGAAGCAAGAGCGGAATTTTCAGCAAAAGCAATAAATTAGGGAGAAAAGTGCTTTACAATGAGCTTGTTAAGTTTTGCATTGATAGTAGTTGGGAAATGTTCATAAAATAGTAAGAGGAACTATTTCTTATGCTAAAGTACAAGAAGAAGTATCTTTGTTATCTGAAATGAAAATGGAAGTATTTCAACCCGAATCCTACTAGGCAGATGACAACTGACCATACTCTCAAGTAAGTTTTTACATCAATGAGCTATTTCCACCAAACACAGTACTCCCCTTCCCACTGTTGTATCAGCACAAACCTGGCGACTTTCACATTAAGATGTGTATAGTTAAATCGAATTGTGCAATGCACCAGTGGAGTCTATTCATGCCATTCTCATGGCCTTCTATTACACAAAATCCACAACACCCCTTATCAGGTATTTTAGAAAGGTGTGAAGCCATAAATCAACGGGAGGTTTGTGTCTAGAAATGCCCAAAGAAATGTTAGCATGCATGAAAAAGTTCTGCTAAGGCAGCTCTAGCCGAACACAGTATGAGCTGGGTATATGATGAGATCAGTCTGCCAAAGGTTATAAAAAGTAAAATTGGGGAGATACTACTTCCCAGGCTGTAGAAATGATGTTGTGATGTCTCTGGGGAAAAAGAAATGCTATTTGGCTAAAGATTCAAACGTGTGAAAGATCTTCCAACTGTCTCATCTGCTGAATTAATCAGCAGGAAGCCACAAGTTTTAAAGAGAGCACAACATCCCTGGAATGAAAAGATGGTGCCTGTATAGCATCTGGAACACATTCCTGAAAATCCATAAAATCACACAGCTATTTTCTGTTTGAAAAATTACAAATGGTAACTTAAACTGTGGCTTTACAGGCTTTGAGCCAATCTAATGCCT